TGAGTGAGTGGATGCGTGGTGCTTCGTTGCTGGCTGGGGTTAAACCATGACACTCAAACTTAGTTCCTTCAGAAACAAGAAACAAGGCATCCACAGCTTTGTCACAACTACTCCTTACACAAAACACGTTGTTGGCAGTTGCAGTTCCTCCAATGGATTTGAATTCTTATTGCCATTAAATACTGGATGTCATGAGTTGCATGTAATTAAATGTGTCAGAAGTATTAGGGATCATTCTGGGCTTTATCCTTTAATGTTATTTTTTAATGCAGTTTTTGTATACACTATTTTCTTGGGCATTACTTGCAGACGTCGTACAACAAGATTCATCTATAAGCAAAGTTCATATAGTATATCATCACATAACTAATTTATTTTGAAACACACTTTAAAAAAAACCACTTCTAGCTCCAATTACTGCACTTCAGGTTTGTAAAATGGATTTTGTAGCGACAAGTACTTTATCAGATGACATACCAGTAGATGTCTGGCCATGCAACTTTATAAAATTTCACGCCTTATGTTTAATCATCACAGGTTCTCATCCCCATATTGAGTAACTGTAGAAATATAGGATGTGCACAGGTATATGTGCTTCTAAGAAAAGAAGTAGAAAACTGATAAGAAACTGCCTTTACACCACTGTTCAGAAGAGATCCAGGTACACTGCTGATATGTTTGAACTCTTCTTTACTTGTGATAAACACCGTCTTGAAGTCACCCGAGTTCTACATTTGACAAGGTAATTGGATGGATCACCTTGTTTTTTCAAGGGCTACCACACCACCTACACTCCTGCAATATCACAAACCACGCTCGGGCATATTGTGTTGCTACCAGCAGAAGAACCACAGCTTACCAACATGACCAGAACACGCTTAAAACTTTTGCAGCGAGAGACAATAACTTGATGCTATACTGTAATAATTAAATTTCAACTGCTCTATAATTAAAAGTTAACAGTTCTCCCACAGGGTTCTGCTAAGCTGAATCTAGGTATCTGGAGCTTGCTTAGGTTCCAAGACAGCATTAGGTCAAGCCACTGTGCAGAGAGTCATAAGCTGAAGAGCCTTTAGCAATCTCAGAATTATACATCAAAAACATTCAATGAGCATCACAATTCCTGGAACCTAAGCACACACGCACACACCATCTCGTGTAGTGTATCAACAGGAAGCTGAAAACCATATTGAGTGTGTAGCAACGTAGTTTTAGTCAGGCAAACATTAACTTTTGTGAATTGGTTTCAATAAACTTCAATACGGGAAAAAGTCGGTAGGCATGTCAAGACAAAACACCACTATGAAATATCTAGAAAGATCAGATACAAACCTAAAATACCGATCTCCAGGCCTTCCAATTCTGCTTTGATTCTACTGTAAATTTCTTCTCTCTCTCCAAAGTCTGCCACAATGACTTTGGTTTCCACTTTGTACTTCTCCTCTAGAAAAAAAAGTTTTTAAAAGTTTCAAATAGTTGAATTATCATTCAGATATTAAGAATATATCAGTTATTACAGTTTTAAAAAACATTATGTTATTATGTTATGTAGCTAATATTACGCATTAACATTTTCACCTCTGCAACAGGAATCCTTGGATTTTAACATAACCTGCCACCCAAGAAGTTTGCAACATTAAGCTACCTCTGGTGAGAACAAGTTCTCAAATGATTCCACATTTTGTTTGTAAGGGATGACGAAGATGGCAAGAAAACAAATTATACAGGTTTGCACAGAATCAAAAAATGCAGAAATTCTAAAATGCACATACACAAGTGTTCAGGTACAACTTGATAAGAACACTCTTTTCCAACTTAGGCCAAATAAGTTGCTTCAGACCAGGCAAAACAATTCCTTATTGCCCTCTGTTTCCATTCTCACTTCTGGTGCCATAAAACTTTTTGAATAGTTGGTATTTTGAACATAAATCACAAAGGGAACACATGGGTGAACAAGAAGAGCAGAACTTCATGTTTAATCATTCCAAAACTGTTCATCAGAATGCCGTCATCTCCACTCTTAATAGAACAGGTAAAGTGCACATAGCCAACTACATTTCGAAATAGAAAAAGAAAGCAAGTATTAAAAATACTTCACACAAAAAGCAATTCTGCTCCCATCAAGCTAAATTAAATACATTGAATTAAAACCAGTACAATGTCCTCTCAGACTTCAGAAGAGCAGAACAGTAGCTTAACATCGCAGCATCTCTGTGTTTTGCTGCACCTGGCTCCCACCCTAGCATTCCTTAAGGAACCTGTACACAGCTTGAGAAGGATTTTACAGCACTTTGCCCCCAGAGCCATTCATAAAAACAGTGCCATGTTAAAGGAAAAGAATCATTCACAAAAAAGATTAGAAGCAGCCAGATTCCCATGATGCTCCTTCCCATTCAAGGGAAAGCCGCGACTCCCATGATCCTGCCGTCCATTCATGCAGAATCATGAATCCACTGAACTCGCTGGTTTGCTGGCTGCCTCCCCTCCCCCCCGCAATAGCCCTAATGGCAGATGAAATTATTTCTCCTTCTTTTCCCTCTCCCCACCCTCAACCTCTTCATCTCTCCTGAACAGCTGCATTGTTTAAAAATCCCCTGAGAGATGTTGCTATGTCAAATGACGACGTAAATAGCATTAAGCCCCTACTGCAGCAGCGGTCTTGTGATCGCGTCAGAAGAAAATCAAGTTCAACGTTGGGGGGGGTTGAAACAGTCTATTTTTGAACACAGCTGTTCTAATATTTAGCATACAGACTCAAGTTCTTACAGGACACTGAATTAAAGGCAGCGTTAGAGGCACTTCTAATAAGCGCAAGTGGACTGGGCGGGCAAAGCCCAAGCCGCACACTTCCACACACGTGCCATTTTTAACTGTTCTGTGGGATCTGCAGCTGTCTTCACCGCCGCTCAGATGCCTCATGAAATGCGAGTTGTTTAAAGGACCCAAACACCATCCTCACAAATTTGCTCAATTGGTACTGGCCCTTTTATACTAAACATTCTTCATTAGGATTGTTACCAATCTATCTTCGAAACCTTTTGAAATTGCTACAGGTATACTGAGAGGACAAGGTTAATACTTTAAATAGAAAAAAAAACCAAAAAGTCCTCACACCACTGTTCATAGAAGAACCTTCTTCGAGCCTTTAGAAAATTAGCAGAGAGCTGTTACAATTAAGGTAGTTAGGCAATACACCTACAAAAAGATGCAGCACCCTTTGTGGACGGAGGGTGGGTAGTACAGTGTATAAAAACATATAAAAAGTAGATTGCCTGCCGGTATGGCCAGAGGACACAGTCTTTGTGTGGTTGCTCACTGCAGATGCCACCTGCTGACCAAACCCTCCCTCCCCATTTCACACCAGCATTCAGGTATCCTGTGTACTCCATGCTCTGTCCCAGAACCTGTGGTAGGTGGGATGATCCACTACATCAGAGAAAAAGACTAGTAGATACACCTGATAAAATCATTCCATGTCCAATGGCAATGCAAATGGCATTAAGTCACTTCTGCATAAGCTCGTCCTAGTTGTCAGAGCACAAGGTGCAGAGGAGAACAGGTGTGCTCTGCTCTGTATGAACAATGGAAAAGGGAATTTCCTTGATCTTAAGAAGGATTAAGATGTTCTCAAACAGATGGGCTGGAAGAGAGAGCAGCACACATTCCTCGTTTTATCTGCCAAAAAGACTCTGAGACGCAGTGCA